GGGTCCTTATTTTACCAACTTTGGAAGGATGGAAGGCTGAGTCAACCTTGAGCCTGGTGGAATTCGAACTGCCAAATTGCAGGCAGCCGGTAGTCAGCAGAAGTAGCCTGCAGTACTGCACTCTAACCACTGTGCCATCGTGGCTCATATACCATGGCTCATAGTGGCTTATGATGTCAATTGAGCCCCCAATTTTTGTTCTTAAGTTAGTTTTGCCCTATTTTACGACCTTTCTTGCCTACTTTGTTAAGTGAGTCACTGCAATTGATGCATTGGTAACATGGTTGTTAAGTGAATCCCCATTGATTTTGCTGATCGAAAGGTTGCAAAAGATGATCTCATGACCTGGGGACACAGCAACGGTCACAAGTATGAACTAGTTGCCAAACCTTTGAATTTTGATCACATGATCATGGGGCTGCTACCAAGGTGTCATAGGTGTGAAAAATGGTCCTAAGTCACTTTTTTTCAGTGCCCTTGTAACTTTGAATGGTCACTAAATGAACTACCTGTATTTGGGTAGAAAATATTGTAATGCTGTAATTGTATTTTGTGCTAAAAAAAAGAATGATACATTTTCCCCAAAATCATCTGCTATGCTGTCAGCCCTGATGCTAACATGTTTTTAAAAATTGAAAGAATGCAGTAAGCAGCAGCATCTTACCAGCTTCTGGTGTTTCTGTACGATGCACTGTCATGCCCCCGTCGGAATCTGATTCGGAGGGAGAGGCCAAGCAGCTGACCGAGCAGGGAGTGGGAGTGTGGCTCTGTTGGCGGTAGAAGAAACTGGAGAAGGGCACAGTCTGGCTGGGCAGAGCAGGGAAGAGATAGAACAAGGGAAAGGGAATTCAGACAAAGACCCATCTTCATCCCAGGGCAGGCAGGGAGGAATGGAGAAGAGAGCAACATGAGTTGCTTGGCTTATGGGGGAGGAAAGGGTCCTGATTCCCTTTATTAGCTGCAGCTGGGAACACAGTGTTTAAAAAGGGAAGCTGAGCATAGCAACTTGTTGGGAGCAAATTGTAAGTTATCTGGTATCGTTGAGGCTTATCTGTGTTCCTGGCATCTTCCCAACTGTGTGTTTTGCTGTGCTTTCAAGTCTGCAATTCCTTCTCCTGCCCTGTCAAGTTAATTACTGCAGCGTGGTTTGTTTGGATTTTTAGTTACAGTGTGTATGTACTTTATTTTCGGACCGAATTTCCTCCACTTAAAGGCTGTCCCTGAGAGAGTTTTTCTCCAGCTGAAGGTAACCTGGACATTGGGGGCAAAGCTGGAGATAATAAAGGGACTCTTCTTGCTTATTTGACTGAGTTGCCTTTGTGCCATGCTCTGGGTCATCACATGCACATTATGAGACTCTTTACAGGTGGTCTTTGGCTTATAACTTCAACTTAATTTCCATTCTAAGCAAGGTCGTTGTTAAGTGAGTCGTACCCAATTTTACAACCTTTTTGCCATGGTTGTTAAGTGGATCACTGCAGCTTTTAAGTAAATCATATGGTCGTTAAGTGAACTCAGCTTTTTCCATTGACTTCACTTGTCAGAAATTGATCAAGGTCGCAAATAGTGATCACATGACAAATCCCCCCCAGGAATGGTGATCACATGACCTCTTCAGAAATTGTGATCACGTGTATCTGGGAAACTGCGACCCTCGGGATGTATACATGACAGTTGCCAAGTTCCCAAATTTTGATTATGTGACCAAGGGGAATGCTGTGATGGTCATAAGAGTGAGGAACTGCCATAAGCCACTTTTTTCAGTGCCTTTATAACTTTGAATGGTTGCTAGTGGATAGTTGTAAGTCAAGGAGCACCTGTACTGATCTCCTTTCCTTTATGATTTTTGTGTGGTCAAGTTTGGCTGTAATGTCACACGATTGAACTTTTGAAGAGAAGGAAGAGGAATTAATCAGATGGCAAGAAAAAGTATAGAAAGAGCAAAGTGTGATTTGTTTCCAAGCTCCAAATAACCTTGACTGGAGACAAAAAACTCCTACACAAGCATTTACAAGAAGGAGGAAATGCCATTTAAATTATAAAGAGTAAAAAAACAACACGAACCAGACAAGATAAGGGCTTGAAGATGTCCACAGATATCAGAACACACACTGGGAAGGACGCCAAACTCAGAGAGGAACAATAAACTAGAGATATTTCCATGCTTTGTTTCCAGCACTTGCCCGTACGCATGTCCGTCATCTTATCCAGTTGTCACAGCTGCAGCCCATGAAGAGGATCATGGGGATCTCCTCCCCAGTAGATCACATCTCTCCCTTATCCTCTCTTCCCTGTGTGCCCTAGGATGAAGAGGGGATGGGCCTGGGTCCTCCTCTGACTGCCCAACTGGCCTCTGCTCTTCCCCAGCCTCCTCCACAACCTCTGGACCACACTTCCACTCCCTGTCAGCTGTTCCTCCTCTCCCTCAGAGTCAGTCTCCACCAGGGGCATGACACAGAGGGAGGAATTCACTGGGGAGTGAAGCCTCCTGCTAGGAAAGGAAAAGGCCTGTAAGAAGGCAGACTATTCACTATCTCTGTCTATCCTCCCTGCCCCACTAATAAGCAAAGTTGGAGATAAGCCAGTTCATAAAGAATAAACCACTTCTGCACTCTCATATACCAGCCATATGTGCCTATATACCAGCCATCTTGATTTCAAAAGCGAAACATGGAGCTGTGCTTTTAATTTTGCATTTGCAAGCAAAAAAAATCCGACTTGCCCCTAGAGTATTTTCAGCTATGTTTCTTTGTCAGAGCAAGATGTACACCAATCCCAACAAAATACAGACATCTCAGTACTTCTGTTCTTAATAAGTAAAGGTCTTTGTGAACTTTGCAAACTCAGTTGATTTTTTCCCCCTATTTTTTGCCTGGAGAAGAAAAATAAAGGCCTAAATGATAATTGCCTTCATTTCTGATAGATAAAAAAGATTTCAATAGCTTGCCCTCATGTGTTTTAGATGACAAAATCTTGACAAGGTATCAGTAGGAGATAACCTGTTTTACATCTTTCAATAGAGACTGATTAATATGATTAATGTGATTAAAGACATGTTTTTTCTGGTAGTGGTACATCCATATTATCTAGAATGGATATGATTTAGCATGGTTTATACGTAGCTTAGATTGAACAAATGTTAGGTCTGCATCAGAGGTGGTATTCAGCGGGTTCTGAGCAGTTCTGGAGAACCGGTAGCGGAAATTTTGAGTAGTTCGGAGAACCGGCAAATACCACCTCTGACTGGAGATTTTAAAGTATCCTTCCCCTGCCACGCCCACCAAGCCACGCCCACAAAACTGGTATTAAAAAAAAGTTGAATCCCACCACTGGTCTGCATGTAGATGCTTGTCAGGAGTTCGATACATAGGTGTAAAATTTTCCTGTGAGTGAAACCAAGGAGATGTCACAGACTGGAGTTTGGGGAAGAAGAGTTTTAGAATAGTAGATATCATTAAATACCCCTCTTCAGATGTTCAGTATTTAAAAAAGAATTCATAGTTGCTATTTGAAAGTTATAACAAAACAATATAGACAGTCCTCGACTTACGTAACTTGTGTCACTTATTAAGCGGATCATCACAAGACTACTCCCATTTTACAACCTTTTTTGTAGTGGTCATTAAGTGAATGCTGCAAACCCATTGTCCACAATGGCCAGAAGTAAATGCTAGTTTCTGGCAAAAAAAACATCCTAACTCGCAGTCCTGTGTACGGAGATTCTCAGTCATCCAGGTCATGGTGGTCCCAAAGGTGCTTTTTTCAAGAGGCGACTGGACTTTCTGGTTTTTTTCTTTGAAGACGTTTCACTTCTCATCCAAGAAGCTTCTTCAGCTCTGACTGGATAATGGGGAATGGAAGGATTCATATTCCTTCCAGATAGCTGGTCATTTGCATTCTTTTAGAGAGTCATTAAGGTCACCTGAAGATTTATCTGTGTCATCAGAGTCACCTGAATGGTGCGAATGGTGCGAATGGGTCTTGGGACTGTTGAAAGGTCTGTATTGTAGCCTGGAGATAGATGATGTTGTGTCCCTTCTCCTCTGTTGAGAGAGGGCTGTTCAATTTTGACATAGATGGCCTCTTTGATCTCCAGCAGTCCTCTCTGTCCAAAATGTGGACTTTGCTGTCTTCAATGGAGTGGCCTTTGCCTTTAAATTGCAGATGGGCTGCTGAATCTAGTCCTGATGTGTTTGTCCTCCTATGTTGTGCCGTGCATTTACGAAGTGGTTGTTTCGTTTCCCCAATGTACAGATCTGCACATGGCTCACCACATTGTACTGCATATACCACATTGCTCAGTTTCTGTCTGGGTGCTTTATCCTTGGGTTGATCAAGCTTCTGTCTTAGTGTATTCTTGGGTTTGAAGTGTGCACGTATGTTGTGTTGGCTGAAGATTCTCCTGAGCTTTTCCGAAATTCCCGCAATGTATGGAATGACAACGTTGCTTTTGGGGGAATCTATCATAATTATGAATTATGAATGCTATGCATTTGAAAACTAGATGTAGGGTAAATATGTTATGTCAGGTAAAATAATAAAGAAACAAAGTGTGTGTGTGTGTGTGTGTATGTATGTATGTATGTATGTATGTATGTATGTATGTATTAGATTTTTTTTCCTCACATCTTTATTAACTTTATAATTCACTCAAGGCAGCAAACAAGAGAATGGCCGTCCCAAAACCACCCAGCTGGCTTTCATTCCTTAAGTGGGAGTAAAACTCACAATCTTCTGGTTTCCAGGCCAGCACCTTAGCCACTATACCAAACTAGTCTTCCTCCTTTTTTTTCTTTTTTTGCATTTTACACATTATCTACGTTAATATATGTAAAAGATTGAAATGTAGCCTGTGTCTTATCCTTGATTCCCATCACCCGCTTTTTTTCAAAGATACGCTAAAAGCAGAGGAGGTTCAAATATTGATTTTTCTCAGGCGACATTTTTGTTCCTTTATTGTTGCTGAACTGCTGCTAAATGATTTTGTTCTCCTTGTGCAGCTGGACAATCCTGATGAGCAAGCAGCACAAATTAGGCGGGAGCTTGACGGTCGTCTCCAAATGGCAGACCAGATTGCCAAGGTAAGAGACGGGGTGGAAGGGAGGGCTGCTTACTGGGTTTGAGAGGGGCGGCACTTTTTTTAATGGCTCAGGCAGTGGCATTGTTTATCAAAAGCTGTCTGTGTATTTGTTTGTTGACACGTTCTGTCAGAGAAGCACAAGTTCTCCGTTATGGGATCTGCCTTCTGGAATGAGATCCTCTAGAGATCCAAATGGCTTCCACTCTGATGATGTTCCAGATGTTACGAAGATCTGGCTGTTCTCCCAGGTCCTGGAGCAGAGTGAGCCCCTGATGGATAGATATTTTTTAGGTTATATATTGTTTTTTAGCTGCTCACGGTTTCTTTTTCGTCTTCTATAACTTTGAAAATGATTAGCATTGTAAGCTGCCCTAAATTATTGAAAATTGGATGGCCGATAAATTGTGTGTATGTATAATAAAGAAATGCCGAGGCATTTAAGGGTCTAGAGATTTAAAGGCAAGTAAGTTGGAAAAACCATGTTGTTGTGATGACCTGGGGCATGACACAAAAATAACCAAGTCACAAAAATAGAAGAAAGTCCCTTTAATGCCTCCAACTTGGCCCCCAAATCCAATTATCCTCGGCAGGATATCAAACTCTTAAAGAAAACAGTTTACGGAGGGAGTAAATGCAGTCCATGCCCAAAGTAAAGTTAATTCGAAATAAAAAACCCAACACACCACACTGAAGGAATTACTATGGCAGGCAAGGATGATTAATTGCGGACTTCTACCAGATAACACAGCAACCACAGTTAGGAGGAAACCAAAACACAGATAAACTCCTACAAGAATGCACACTTTGCTTCCAGCAACTTTGCCATGCGCAGTTTGTCCTTTTAACCAATCCTCCCAGCTGCAGCCCATGAAGGGGATCAGGGCCCCTTCCTCTCCCGTAGACCATGCCACTCATGTTTCTCCCTTATCCACTCCTCCCTGCGTGCCGTAGGATGAAGAGGAGATGGGCCTGGGTCTTCCTCTGTATGCCCATCTGGCCTGTGCCCTTCCCCAGTTTCTTCCACAACCACTGGAGCCACACTCCCACTCCCTGTCAGCTGTTCCATCTCTCCTTCTGAGTCAGACTCCAACAGGGGCGTGACAATTGTATTGTTTCAGTGATATAAAAGAGCCAGTGAAGTACAGGTAATCCTTAACATAGGACCGTAATAGAGTTTGATCATTATAGCCATCAACTGTAACAGTCGTAAAATGAGCCAACCATGTGACCAACTCAATTGTACAACCTCTTTTTTTCAATGGTCATGTGGTGAACACTGCAGTTTCTTGCTATGGGGGTGTTTTGCTGAAAAGTGAAAGTAAACAGTGGTTTTCAACAAATAGAAAGTAAATTGTGGTCATATGACTGTGGGACATGGCAAACAGCCATAAATGAGAGTCAGTAGCTAAGCTCCCAAAATCATATCACTCGGGGGAGGGGGGAGGGGTCCTTTTGGTGGGCGAGGGTCAAACTTCAAACAGTTGCTAAGTGATAGGTTGTAAGTCAAGGACTATCTGTATAGTGGTTTAGGCATTGACTTAGACTTGAGAAGATGCAGAATACTGAGATTCTCACAGAATTCTGGTCCAGGGGTACAATTAAGGGAGATTTCCAGAAAAGCCATGCAGGGCTCCTGTAGGAAAGGTGGAATATAATTTAAATAATTAATTCTACTACCAGCCACTTTCATCCCTTGGGACATGCACTACATTAGGCTGGGGTCCTGAGTTAAATTGGGTGGTGGTGGTATTATTTAAGTGTTTATATTGGTGTTCTTAGACTACTCGTAAGATAGCAATAGCAATAGGACTTAGACTTATATACTGCTTCACAGTGCTTTACAGCCCTTTCTAAGCGGTTTACAGAGTCAGCATATTGCACCCAACAATCTGGGTCCTCCTTTTACCCACCTTGGAAGGATGGAAGGCTGAGTCAACCTTGAGCCTGGTGAAATTTGAACTGCCAAATTGCAGGCAGCCGGCAGTCAGCAGAAGTAGCCTGAAGTACTGCACTCTAACCACTGCACCATCGTGGCGGTTAAAGATGGTGGTTGTGTGAATAAAATGAGGAGAGAATTTCATATAAGTCTTGAGTCCTAGGGAAAAAAAGTAATCAGTTGTTCTTAACAGATATTGTGTTGTCTTGACACACAGATCCTTTTCTGTACATGACAGCCCAGTTGGTTGTATCAATTACCAATTCAGTTCATCTTCAAGTAGCACCAATATACAGTGTCCAAACTAAGCCATCAATCCCTGAAGAAGAGAGGATAATAACTTCAATGTTTATGTATCCTATTTTGCCATGGAGTCTTTTGTGGGGGAGGGGATCTTTGAATAAGCTGTTTGTTGGGGGAACATTTATTTTAGCAAAGCACTCCCAAGATATCCAAGTGAATCTTTGTATTGTGAATAAAATCATAATACATTATTTAGCAACAGCATTTGGAGAAACAGCCTTTCCCTTCTCTTCTTTTGACCCTGCATTGTGTGTTTCAAAAACATTGTCACGGGAGAGATCATTGTCTTCAGAAGAGATCAAAATAGATGTAAAAATTAACAGCCCATACATTTATTTTTACTTCATACGTTAGCTTATATTGGACGCCTTTTTGAACATTTTGAACACAATACAGGAAGTCCACAATTTACAACTGTAATTGAGCCTGGCAATTAAGGTTGTAAGTTGTGACAGTCATAAAGCGAATCATCACATGACTGATCAAAATGATTTTATGACCTTTTTTTCTGGCAATTGTAAACAAGTGCTACTGTATAGTCATTAGCAAACCCATTGTTTATTATGAAGCAGTTTTTGCTTAAAACTGGAAGTAAATGCCGGTTTGCACTGGAAGTAAATGCCAGTTATGCAAAAATGGCATAAATTGTGGTCATATGATCACAAGATGGCCATAAGTGGAAGCCGGTTGCCGAGCACCCAAACTGCAGTCACATGTCAGAGGAGGGCTGGCCACTGGAACTTCAGAACCATATTGTAAGTATCTGGGAAGTCCAACTTAACTTCAAACAGTCACTAAGTGAATGGTTACAAGTAGAGACTACCTGTATGGAGTGATACTTGGAGGATTTGATAAGAGCACAACAATCCACTATTCAAGACCACGGCCTTGGGAATTCATGGTCACAACTTCACAGACTAGTAAACCACACAAGCCTGTGGTGATGCTGAAATTTGAGGTAGAAATGCTACATACTATATGCTATTATGAGTCCAAGAAAGAAAGTTGGAATAAAACTTAAACCAAATAATAAAGTGAATTAAAATTACTGTCTTCTGCCATAGTTTTATATGTTTAATTTTACATTTTGCCATGATTTTAAAATAATATTAATAAATCACTGGGGGTGGGGGGAGCATATTCCAGCTTGCCATTGCCCTTCATAAAAAACAATGCCCAGAACAGCATTCTTCCAGTCGCAACCTGACCAATGCAAAAGAAAGAATTACAACTACTTTTGATCTCCACATTCCTTAAGGAATGTTAAGCAGTATCCCTGATTTTACCCTCAATAAAGACAACTTGATGAAGGATGTTGATGTGGAAGAAAATTATTTTACACATTTGTAATAAATCTTTCAAAAATAACAGAGTTGGAAGAGATCTTGGAGGTCTTCTAGTCCAACCCCTTGCACAAACAGAAGACCCTATAACTTTCTGGAAAAATAGTTTTCCAACCTCTTCTTAAAAATCTCCAGAATTGGAGCACCCGCTACTTCTGGAGGCAAGCCATTCCATTAATGTATTGTATTGTTTATTTAATTGAATAGTCATAAGACCTTATCAATAACATAACATAAATATATAACAAGACAAAATACAGATAAGTTAGATATATAAGAATACAATAATGAAAACATATGTGTAAAACCAGGGAGTCAGAAATCGTATAATAGATCACCCTTGCAGGATACACCAATTTGTTCAATATATTGTGTTCTTAGGACCGCTGCCTTGATTATAAACTTAGCAGTCCTATGAACAATGTGTACATTAGTGGCCCAGAGGAAATATAACAGTCTGTGGTTTGATTCCCAATGGGCTGTTCTTTCCAGTAGAAATGATAAATATTTAAGCCTAATGGGGGCATATATTTGGCAGTTGAACAAGATGTGGGAAATATCTTCAATGGCAGATGAACCACATAAGCAGGTTCTCTCGTGGTATGGTACATGGTGGAAGTGCCCAGGTCTGGACATGGAATCCAGTAACTCAAATCTGGCTCTGGTATAGGCTCTTCTCTGTAATTGTGGCATACCCATTGAAAGGTATTTTTCAGGTTGGAAGATGTTTTTATTCTTAGCCAACCATCTTATAGATCTGTTTTTTGCTAATAATTCCATGTCAGTCTGGGCACTAATATCCAAGACTCTCTGTTTAAAAATTTCCCTTGCCTGGGAAGCGCTTGACAATAAATATTGGGTAGAGAACCCATGTCTTAAGATGGCTCTGTGGAGTTGACTGGCCCAGGAGTTAAATTGAAAAGCATTGGGGCTAAAATGCAGCCCTGTCTTACGCCAATATTGGTAGGTATGCTCTTAGACAGGGCTCCATTTACGCCAGTACAGATTTTCACATGGGTATTTGAATAAAGGGCCCTAACCAGAAAAAGGAGTCTGGGCTCCATGTTCAGGTCCACCAGTTTCCTCCACAAGATATTTCTGTTTAACTAATCAAAAGCCGCACTTAGATCAATAAATGCAGTGAATAATTTGTTACCCATTTTTAAATACCTTGTTACCAAGCGATATAATGTAAAACAATTATCTATGGTAGATCGCTCTGGTCTAAAGCCTGCTTGTTCCTCCGCCAAAAGATTATTCTCCATAACCCAGATTTCAATTTTGCTCAACAAATGCTTTGCATACATTTTAGCAACAATTCCAATTAGGCTTATTGGTCTGTAATTAATTGGATTGCCTCTATCTCCTTTTTTATGTAAGGGAACAATAATGGCCACTTCCCAACCCACAGGTATGCGACCAGTATTGTTTATAAAGGTGAATAGCCCTGCTAACAAAGGCGCCCACCAGTCCATAAAAGTCTTAAATAATTCCGGGGGCAAAAATTCTTCACCAGTGCCTTATTAGCTTTTAATGATCGAATAATAGATTTAATTTATGAAACAGAAACAGGGGGCCAGATAGGGAGATTTTCTAAAGTTAATAAATCATTGCTTTGGGTATGCATAGAGTCCTGATTGGATTTAAAAAGAAGATTGAAGCAGGAATGGGGATATCAAAATAAAAAATAAAAATAAAATATCAAAATAAAATTTACATTCCTTCAAAATACCTGAGACAGCATTTCAAAAGAAAGCTGAATTTGACCCTTTTGCCCAAATTTCCAAGTCCGACCATAATTTAGTTCTAAAGGAAGCCTTCTTTGATGCTATCAATTTCTTATAATCACGCCTAATTTTTAACATGTTGCTATAGTTTTTTGAGATGGGATATCGCTGAACCTTACGCATTGCAGCTCTCAAATATTTTCTACTGTGTGAACAGTCAGAATCAAACCAGCTAACTCCAACTTGTTGGCGGTTTCTTATTGGAAGTTTGACAGTAAGAAATTTCTTCAGTGAATGACGTAGATCGTCATAATGGGCCATAATATTATCTGAGCCTGAAGATGAATGAGAAATTAAGCTTCTCCAGATCTGAGGTTGTGCAGAATTCAAAAAAATAGATAATGCCACAGTATCAACGTTGGCCCATTTGAGTTTTCTATCCAGTCTCACTTCCAGGTTTGCAAAAAACCTTTTGCCACAAGATGAGTTTCTCCGTATATCTGAACTGCCTTGAAATAAAACTGAAATTGGTTGGTGGTCACTACCTTCCCTCACATGGACTTGTTAATGCAGTCTAGGACTCTGTGGGCTTTTTTAGCAGCTGCAATTTTAGCAGAAATAAGGTGCTGTCCAAGTAACATACCAAAAGACAAGCCTGTAAATTAGATTACTTCTTAACAGTAAGAGTTCATAGTCAAGCTTGATATTGTTTGGCCAAGAAGACCTCAACAGGCTGTAAAATATGTAAATTATATGATCCAATAAGTAGACACATTATATCTGAATGGCAAAAGGCCAGAAGAACACTGATGGATAGCAAAAAAATGAGCATTTCTGTATATGCTGGTGCTATTTAATGGGCCAATCAACCTGGATCTGGTACTTACTTACAATCTATTGTAAGAAACTTTGTACCTAAGAATAAATACATGTTTTCTCCCATGACCTTAAATTTTCTTGTCTTGCACATTATGCAGGAGATCATGAATTTATATCAGTCATTAAAAATGTTGCAGGCTTGGACTGTTCCTCATTTTCTAAATAACCTTTTAATGAGGAATCTGTTCTGCAGCCTTCCTGTCACAAAGTAACTATTTCTCAAAGTGCCCCAGTGGAGACATTTGGGCCCATTCATTACCACAAAATTTTGCTTGGAGGAAGCATTTAATTTTCTAGCCCTGGGCACATTTCCATAAGTTAAAGACTGATCAGTAGAAAGAGGTTTTAGGCCTCGTGTTGAAAACTAGACAGGATGTAAAATGAGACATAATAAAACAAAGTTGCTATTGAATGAGAGGCGAGTTGAATTACTGGTGGGATTTATTTCAGTTAAAGATTCCTAAACTCTTGGGCTAAGAGACTGGCCATAGACAAAGATGCTTAAAAGCCCCCTTTTTAAAAATGTGAGTAGTCCTTGACCTACAACCATTCATTTAGGACCATTTGAAGTTATAACAGCACTGAAAAAATTGACTTAGGACCATTTTTTACCTTTAACAACCCATTGTAATCAAAATTCAGATGCTTGGCAAATATGCTCGGTTCATATTTATGATTGGAGTGTCCTGGGGTCATGTGATCCCCTTGTCAGCATTCCAGAAAACCTCCACTCCAACAGATAACTCCGAAACAGACATCTTCTCAAAAGTTCTGTTTTTATTGGATATAAACTGGCACAACCGGGGAATCCCAAATCTAAAAGTTCCAGGCTTCCTTGCAATAAGTAAAAACTACAAATCCACCCCCTGCACCCATCATCACATCACATGCCCCAATCACCATCTGTCCCAACTTGAGACTTCCCCTCATTTATTCTCAAAATAACATGACCTTGAATTAGAAAAAGAATGTTATTATGTTTAACTACATACACTCCAAGAAATCCCCCCCCCCATATTCCCAGGCTCAAAATGTGGCAGCGTGGGAGCATCTGGTCTCAATATGGCTTCCAAAGCTGACACCTCTTTTGTGACCTTCTTGCTACCAAAACATTCTATCTACTGGTTCAGGAATGTGTGTAGAATGTAGTGCAAAGTTATGATAGTCACCATGATTTGAGGTTGACGTTGTAGCACAGCACACATAAAACCACCAATGGGACTTTGAATACACTGACACAGCTGCCAGCCATTTTATGGATATCCCTGCTCCGGCTCGATGCTTAGAACCATCTTATAAAATGCTCAATAAAGATCTTAGGTTAAGAGCTTCCTTTATGCAATGACTAGAAGAGCTGGCTTTTGATTTATTTTTGCTATTGCAGTTTAGGTTTAATGCTGTTTTGCCAAGTGTCAGGGCAGTGATCAGATGGCCCAAGCAATTTTTGGATCTAAAGTTCCAAACACATTAAACACACCAGTGAATAAAGGGATTTTAAGCTTTATGATTAGCTCAAGCAAACAAATATTAAAAAGCACATATACCAAGCAAGATCATACTCATATCTCTTACAGGCCTGTCAGGAGCTCTTAATAGCAACAACAGAGGTATCCCAAGGGTGGCCAATTTCCACAGTACCCAGCACTAGGTTCTATGCTGAATTACCCCACAACAACAACAGCCCCATGTTGTTGTTTTTATTAATCAAAAAGCTGGCACCATGACCTCATGGTTCTGCTATGGTCAGACCTGGCCTTAACTGGATGGCACATGACTCTGGGATGGGAATTGAGACTTTCACAGCTTTGAAGCTACATGAAGATTTCCCCCTTCTCTTTTGTTCAGTAAACAATAATTAAAAAAACAAGCAGGTCAGCAATATAATATAATATAATATAATATAATATAATATAATATAATATAATATAATATAATATAATATAATATAATATAATATAATATAATATAATATAATATAATATAATAATAATATAGAATAGAAGAGATGATTCCACCAGACTGTCAATTATTTGGAAGCCTGCACTCACAAACTAAAAAATCTCCACACCACAAGCCAGGCAAACACCTGGGCACAAACACATCCCCCCTGATACTTCCAGCTCAAACACACCCCAACCAGGCACCCAGATGAAACCTAGCTTCCTAATAAATGATAGCCGCCCATTTACTCAGAGCCAAGCTGCACTAAAAGCCTCCAATACAGGAACACAATGTTGCCAGCCAATCAAGACAAAAAAAGCCACAAAACAGACAGAAGATATTAGAAACACCAATCAAGCAGAAAACAGCAAACTCCAAGACCAATAAACACAGACCAAGACTCCCAACCAATCAGGATGAAGAAAAAACCATTCTGACACAGCAGTAGGCTAGCCCCAAATTTAAAACTGAAACAACTGTAAAAGTCTGACTCACAGACGAACTCAGTACAGAAGCCTGATGATGGCAGATGAGATTCTGCCGAAACATTGCTACAACTTTAAAAGCACAACTATAATGACATGGGAAAATACCCGAACAAAGCTGAATACCATACACTGGCTACATCAGGTTCTTTTTAGATATATATCGTATTATACACCCTGGTTATAATCATCATTCTCATAGTCATAAAATGTAGTCTCTTTTAAGTACATAGTATTATACTTTGTAATTATAACTATTCTTTTCATAGTTGTACCATAATGCTTTATACATTTATCACTCAATACATTTAATCTATAGTCATATACAGTCCAACAGTGATATTGCTTACAATATATATTCTTATATCTATATACCTGTATTTGGAAGAAGAATGTGTAAAAGAAATTACAATAGTATGGGCAAAAAACTTTGGGTACACTGTAGAATTAGATAATTGGCAAAAATTGTGGGAAAGAAATTACAAATTAATGATGTCAACAGCTTATAAAGAAAACACGTACAAAATGTTTTATAGATGGCACTTGCCACCAGCAAGAATGGCAAAAATATTTCCAAATATGTCACCAGAGTGCTGGAAATGTAAACAGGTACTGGGATCCTACTATCATATGTAGTGGACCTGTCCAACAGCAAAAAAATATTGCTCAAAGATAAAAAGATGGTTAGAAGAGATGACAGTACAGCAATTATCTAAACTTTTCTTAATATGTAGGCGAAGTCAAGAAGTCACTAAAGGCCTCAAAATAAACAATAGTCTTCCACCTTGCCATTACAAATGCCTATTGGAGAATTGAATTCAGTATGTATAAATATATGCAATTCTGTCAATCATATATTCTTGTTTGTTTGTTTTTTACTTTACTTTCCATCACAGGAGCGTAAATTTCCTAAATTTGTGTCCAAAGAGATGGAAAACATGTTCATTGAAGAGTTGAAGTCATCGGTCAATTTACTTATGGCAAACCTGGAAAGCATGCCAGTGTCCAAAGGGGGCTCCGAGTTCAAGTTACAAAAACTAAAACGCAGCCACAACACTTCCATCATTGACATGGGAGAGGAGAACGAAAACCAGCTCTCCAAATCAGATGTTGTGCTATCTTTCTCCCTGGAGGTAACATCTAGTTTTCATCAAGTAAATAGAAAGGTGTATTGTAAAATAAATGTTGTAAAATTTGGGTAACATGAATGTAATTTTAAAGCAGCTCAGTGATCTATGTCTTGGCAATCAGAACTTAAAAGGGAATTGCAATTTTTTATATTTTTAGCATTTGGGAGGAATACAGACAGCTAACTTATCCTTGGTCCATCTGTACACCCTGAGCCAAGCTACCACCATGTTTAACCATTGCATGGATTTTTAATATGAAAAATGGTAGGTGGATAGCTTGGTCTGGGAACACCTACAGGGGTAAGAGATGCCGAGCAACTCACAAGCAAGGCAGGAAAGGCTTTTCACGGGCTGATAAGTGAGTTTCTCAAGTTCTTAATTGACAGGTTGTTTCCCACTGACTCATGGGGTTCAGACAGGAGGTTTTTTCCCCCCATGCTTTCTTAGAGATGCTGGAGACTGAAGTTAGGATCTCTGGGATGGCAAGCAAGTGCTATACTTGAGCTACCTGACGAAGAGCCAAAGATAAAGCTGGAGGCCAGCTGTTCTTGCATTTCAAGGAAAATGTTTGAATTAATTAAATATTTAATTAAATAAAATTAACATTTCAGTGGGATAAAGAGCCTAACAAGCTCTTAAAGGGGAAGAGGTTGCCTCTTCCCAATGTTTTTGGTTAATGTGAGGATTCTAATTTCAAACAACAACAATAAATGCCACAACCTTCCAATTTATCCCTATACTCCTATATGGTAGATTTTTAGAAGCTTTCCTCAAAGCATTATAACTTTTGCTTGATTCTGGAATTGATTCCTGAATAAAGAACATTTATTCTCTCTTTCTCTCCCTTTCCCTCCTTCCCTCTTCTTTAGGTTGTCATCATGGAAGTTCAGGGTCTCAAATCCTTAGCACCCAACCGGATTGTATATTGCACTATGGAAGTGGAAGGAGGAGAAAAACTACAGACTGACCAGGCTGAGGCATCCAAACCAACGTAAGTGTCCATCTTCGCCTCCATCATATTTCCTCCTTTATTTCAGAAATGTACCTGGCAATCTAAGGAGCAAGACCCCTAGATGCCCACAA